AGTAAATATCAATAAGTTTGTTTTATAAATACGGTTTTTAGTATAACTGTAAATGCTTGCTTTACACCATAAATATCTTGTAAAAGCTTATGTTAATAAAACAAATTTAAAAAAATTTAAATAAAAATCACTGCAAACGTATTAGTTTTAGGTATAAATAATGATTTAATTATTATCCATTGACCGGACTTTTCCTTTAAAACTGTTTCTCTTCTTAAATACAACTGAGTTGATAAACCAATTCATTTTTCATTGGGTTATTTAAATGTTATGAGTTAATTGAATATAACTTAATTCAATGCAGGGACAAATTTAGGTAAATAGAATCAGATTTTATTAAGTTTAACCAACCAGAGTCAAATTTGGTGTCTCCATTGATTTCCTTTAAAAGTGTTTTATAAAATTGTGTTGATTTTATTCAACTAGAGAAAATATGTTGGATGGGAGAGTTCAATTAATTAAATTAAGTTAATTTAATTAGTAATTTTAACATCTGAGGACTAATTCTGATTGGTGGAACAGGGTTTTTATGTCCTTAGGGATCAGGACGGTCCTTAAAAAGCAGGAGAATGTGCAGGAAAATAAAAGAAGAAAAAAGAAATTCCCTTTTTAAATGTTAGAGAAAACTATTTATAATTAGATCTAATATTTAGGTTTTTAAAGACTCTTCATTTAGAGAAAGGATTTAAAAATACACCTTCAATCTGCATCATTTAATGATGGATTAATAAATACAATATCATTTAAAAGCGAACATATAAAAACACTATTGAAATGTATTTGATCTTTGTAACATTAAATTTAAAAAAGGTTGAATCTGTTTTAAGTGACTGTAAAACCAAATCAGAACGACAATGAATATAAATCACATAAATAAGGAAATAAAAGCCTTTCAGAGTGAAAATAAAGAGTAAAAGCGTCGCTGGTTTATTAAATGAAAGTAGAATTAGATCCAAACCTTGGTGCCGATCTGGTTCCCGCATTGTCCCGCCTGGATGTGGACTATTTCCCTCATGATGTCCCTGCGTGTCTCTCTGCTGAGTGGGTGACTGTGAAGCTCTGAATGCTTGTAGTCGCTTATATAGTCTCCTCACAGCTGCTTTCACCAGGCCACACCCTGTCCACGCACACCAATAGTTAAAGAGAATCACTTTAAAATCGCAATATTTACCCAGTGGCAGAATTATTGCACAAAAGATTTAATTTTAATTTAACATGCTGCTCCTTTTGTTAATCTCCAGATTAATCCATTAATATTTTTTTTCTGTCTCTTTTCTTTTAAACTATATAGAGACATTAAAAATTGGTTTTCCCTTAAAACTGAGGACATCCCAGAAATAACAATAACCATCATGTTGTATTATGTTATAGTAAAATGTCAGATATGGTTAATATTGTTTTCTTGCTTGTTAAATGTAGAAAAGTGTTTGAAATTGAATCTGACTGCTGTGACTGGATGATTGTTCAGAGGAATGAGGAAGGATACCATGAGGCGAACATTCCTGCTGATGAGGGATCAGTCAGCTGCTGCAGAGGTCAGCACTGAGATCGGTTTACGGCGCGCCGTGAGCAATGAAACAGGAATCCGTCTGTGATGCAGCGAGTCTGTGGGAGCGAATGGATTCCTCCTGCAGCCGTGGGAGGGATTCAGATTCCTGCTCTGCTGCCTTTCTAAGGATCAGTCATCTTTTCCCTCTTTTGGACTTCTGGCGTTTTACTCCATATCCTTCCAGCTTTTCTTGACATGTTTGGTTTCTTTTTAGCTTGTTCCAAAAAAAAAAGAAAACTCCAAAACTTCCATCCGTGAGGAGTGATGGTGTCTATCTCCAGCTGTCACGAGAGGCGGGTCCACCCTGGACAGGTCACCAGTCTATTTCCAAGGCAAAAACTGACAAAGAGCTTTAAAATTTAAAAGCTTTAAATAAACTAGTCTTTATTCAAACTTTTCATTCACAAAGTCAAACAATTATAAAAAAAAAATGAGTTTTTTTGTTTATCTAAAGCAAATCAAATCTAAAACCTTCGACAAATGATAAACTATCACTTTTCCTGATCTAAGCACATTAAACTCTGAGGTTTAGCGTTAAACAGGCTCTCTGTGCAGAAAGACCATAAATCAGCCTGAGCCCCAAACATGCGGAGGAGTCCATCCATCCTCAGGGTGGCGCTGGCGTTAACGAGGACTCTAGCTGCCGTCGTCATCGTCTGTGGTGAACTGGAGCAGTGAGGAGGACGTGCAGAGCAGCAGCTGCCCGGTGATTCTGGTCAGACAGGTGATGCAGCGCAGGACGGACCTGAACACACAGAGATGCATCATCAGAACGACCGGATTAGTCTGGATCCTCCGGAGGAGAGGCGGGTCCAACTAGGATCCAAACAGAACCAGATGTCCTCCTCAGCTGGACCCACCTGAGGACCTGTTTGACTCGAGTGCATCTGAAGTCGTAGGACAGCGTGTAGACCTCGTACAGCGTTGCTCTGACGGCCAGGCAGCACAGGAAGTCTTTAGGGTGCACTTTATAAAGGTCAAAGGTCAGCTTTGCAATCGCTTTCTTCTTCGGCTCTCGGAAGCTTGGGAGAACCTGAAAAGTTTAGAAAATAAAACCTAATCAGATACTTAAAGCACCATTTAGGTGAACCTGATCTCTGAGATGCTTTGGACCTGCTGCCACCTGCTGGAAGAGCTGAAGAATGCAGCATTCTGTTATTCTAGGAGCCAATCCAAGTTTGGTTTTCAAATTAAAACTGATTTTATTTGATTCATAAAACGTATAAAAACTGAAAATCCTTTTATAATTTAACTTTGGGCTCTCATAGCATCTCTTGTTTCTGAATAGTTTCACAAACACACACAAGCCGCCTTTATCTGAGAAACAAAACCAGCTGCTCTGCCCCATAATATACAAACAAACATAATAAGTCCTTTCAAAATTAAAGCCATTAGTTAATTTAAGAGCTGTATTTGGATGTTCAAACATGTCCTTAATCCGCTGTCACACCTTGACGATTTAGCCAGCATGTGCCTAACATCCTAGAATCTTCTAAAATGCTTGCATATGTAATCTTCAGGTTACACAGAGTATATGTCAGATTAAATAATACCACTTATACATCAGCGATAGTATCTAGGTGTTACTTGATTGTATATCTTGTCCATGTCGGTTGGCTGTGCTGTTCTTTTTACATCTCTTTGCAGGTGATGAAGCAGACATAAGATGTTTTATCGTTATCTCCTTTTTATCTCCTCTTTCTTTTATCTTTTCTCCTTTTTCCTGTTTTACTTTCCCATTGCAGCATCCATATAATCTGTAAAACTCCCTGCATGAATTATATTAAAGCAATTTATATGCATAAATCAAGCGGAACACTATGGCGATAGCCGTACTGCTCCACTCGTGAACGTAAAAACTTTTCGGCTCTTTGTGGCATCAAGACAATTATTCTTATTGCCACATCGCCAGACAGGAAACTGTTAAAACAAAAAATATTAATTAAATGCTGGCAAACTCTGAACTTTCTATGTATTTTTTTTTCAATTTTGGAGATATAACGAGTCCGGAACTGATGTCCAACGACAGCCTAACTTCTGTAAAACGCCCAGCAGCGTAATGCCCAGGAAATGATGCACCAGCCAGTTTCCTTAGGGGGCAAAAAAGTTAGTTTTGGTCACAGTAATAACCTAGCTGTTGTTTAAAAAAAAGAAATGAAGAAAAAAGAAAAAGAAAGGAGGTTTTTGGTGTCAGCAGATTGAGCGTCATGTCTGCTAGGAAGTGTGTTGGTGGTGGGCGTGAACGCAGGGAGGATCCATCACTCACCTTCTGGCTCACCCTATGATGGGGATGAAGTCTGGAGGAGAACTGACGGTTTCCTCCTGTGAACCCCCTTTATACCAAAACGCTGCCAATACGCCATTATACAGTAGCTGGAAGGTAGAAACACGTTCAGCGCTCGTCTGGAACACGGCAGATATGTTGGAGAGAAGTTCTGGATAAGTTAC